AGGAAATTTTAAAAAGTTCAAGAACCTGAAGCATATTGAAATAGAAAGTAGCTATAAAGTGAAGCTAATTAATCAAGTTATTTAAAATACAAGAATTAGAGAACTAAAGGATAGACTAAAGGCAAATAGAGAAAAGGAGGAAATAGTATTCTATACAGATAGCTCACTCAGTAGGAAAGATACCAAGAGAAAAACAAGAATGAGATTTAGTGTAGTTCAAATAGATAGTACAAATAATATAGTTTTTAGTTATAAAGGAAGAATAGAAAATTGGTTCTCATTTACTCGTGCAGAGCTAGTAGCTTGTCTAGTAGTAGTTTTGTTAGTTCATAATAAATGCAAAGTAGAAATAAGAACAAATAGCATATGTACAATCTTTGTAGTTAAGAACTGCTTAAAGAATAAGAAGACATATGAGTAGTTAAAGTCTAAAAATAATAATATTTTGCATGTAATAAAAAAAGTCTGTAAAAGCAAATCAGTCTAGCTAATATTTACAAAAGTCAAAAGTTATTCTGGAGACACCTATAATAATATAGCAGACACACTTGCAAAAGAAGAGATATACAAAGCACATAGTATGAAACTAAATAATATTAGTAACAATTGTATAAAGTATATTTCTGAATAGAAAAAAATAAGTTTGGAGACTCTACTAAGAGCCTTTATTAAAAAAGCAGTTCAAATAATATACAAAGCAGAATGAATATAGTTAAGAAAAAAAAACAATAAGGAATACCAAACAAGAATTCAAAAACAGAATTGGAAAGCTTTTAAGAGTATACTTGGAAGCTACTATAAGCAATATCAAAATTCTGAAGTAAACTACTTGTGATTATTTAAAATCAAATGTATTAAAAATCTTCTCCCAACTGTTGAAACTTTAAACTATAGAAAACCTCAATTATACAAAAACAACTTATACAAGAGATGCTTTAAAGAAAAAGAAACAATTAGGTATTTGATTACTTGTGAAAAAACAAATTAGATGCTCAAAAGAATAGAAGAAGAAGCATAGAAATAGCTCTACAAAGATAAAAAAAGAAGGAAGATTAGAACCTATTGAGTATATATCAAGCAATCTAATATAAACAGAAAAGAAAACAACAAAAAAGAAAAAAATAGATAAGAGGTATTCTTAGTGAAGAAGATGCTGAAAAAATCAAAAATGTAGTTGGCTCTGAGGGTATTATAACTAAATTTTAGAGCCTATTCTGAAATATTTAGATAGAACTATTTTACAAGGAAGTCTGAAAAAACTGACGCAAAGATATAGAAGTATGAGAAAAAAAAGAAAAGATTTCTAAAAAAGAAAATTTACTAAGAAAGAGAAAAAAAAAATTGCCTCAAAGAAAATTTCTATAGGGAAAAAAACAAATTGCAAAATATATAAGAATACAGAAAACTATAATAGTAGTTTTAAAATAGTGTTAGATAGTATAGCTAGAAAAGTAAAGGAGAGAATTTCAGATAATTGGGTTTTAAGTTAGTTATGATGAGCTGTAGTGTTTTTCCTATACTGAGTTGTAGTTTATAGATTATAAACTACTCGAATATAGGACAAAGGTTACTATAGCAGATCACAACATAGATATCTATAGAATAACCAGATAAGTTAAGGCTTAAAAAATTAGGTATTAGATAGTAAAAAACTAAATAATATAGTTCCTCTTATGAAGAACAATCTAAATAAAGTCATAGTATGACTGCTGAATTTTAAAATAAATTTATTTTACTATTAGCTATATAATATACATATATATAATTTATATATATATTTTTTTTATAATATACTTTTAATCAATCTATATAAATATCAATATAAAATTTTTGATCTTTTTTGTGATAGTTATAAAATATTCAATAGTTATATATATTATATAGTATTATTATTAGAAACTATTTAAATCATATATTTAAGTTTTTTAGATAGTTATGCAAGCTATAAATTTTTTTATTTAGGATATACTTATTATTAAATTAATAAATATTATATATATAAATTAAATAAAAGAAGAAATTGCTAAAGGGTTAATAAGTAAAAAAGAATTAGATATTTATACAGATAGATCATTAGTAACAGATTATAGAGAATGTGAAGAAGGAAAAAAGATAAGTATAGAATAAGTTATAGTTTGCAATGATAGTATTGAAAATAGTATTAGCTTTAGTAGTAATAATTTTCAATATAATATATATATAAATTTTAGCAAGAAATTTTTTTTGTTAAAATATCTAAAATAACTTTATAAACAAATTCTTAAAATATTAGTATTTTTTTTAAAAAAAAAATTAATTTACATATTAATATTTGATTCTACAAATTTATTGTCTAATTACATACTAATAATAATTATTACTAGTTATAATTATAAATATTCTTTTATTAATATATAAAAAAATATTAATAAAACCAAACAAATTGGTTCTAAGTAAATTTTTTTAAACAACTATTAAACCAAATTTGATAAATTTTAAATTTATTTAGTTATAAAATTTAAAAAAATTTTATTGTTTAATTTAATAATTGTTGAGATATTTTACTTTAAAGTTTTAAAAAAACTTAATAAAAAAAATTTGTTTAGTTTCTATTGACACCCCTTTAAAAAGAAAATTCATTAGGTTGCATTCTCAAATATGCCGTAGTAATTTTTAAAAAATGGTCGAGATAAATATGCTGCGACAAAATTATTTACAAATTGAGCAGAATAGGTGGACAAGATAAGAAATAAGCTTCGCTAATGATTAGTAATAGTAATTATTTAATTTTTTAATGTATTCAGCGGAGTTTGCTCACCTTAGAACATCCAAAATGGAATAAAAAAATTGTCGTCGAATTTGGTTAAGTAGTTGTCAGAAATATTTTCGCTAAGTTATAAATAATTTCACCAAATTTGGTTAATGAGCATTACGTAAGTTGTTACGCCAAATAAGATGCACTCGGTAACATTCAGCCTAAATTAGGGTAAGAAAAAGGATGAGTTGTGTTACGAAAGCGGAAATTTGATGTTTACGTGTAACGTCTACTGTAATACTGTAATAATATCTTTATTAAGTAGTTTGGCTTGGACTACGTATTAATTCAGCATATACCGATACGTAACCATAATCGATTATTATCTTCCTCTTTCGTTACCAAGATGAATTTTTTTTTATAAAAGGAGCGGTAATGAGGTATTTCCTATGTTTACTAACAAACTTTTTCTTATTAATAAAAAAAAAAAAATGCAACAAATGCAAAAATTCCGATACATCGAAAGAGAGACTAATACAGAATTGGGGAAAAGATTCGAATTATACTGTATTAATTTATTAGAAAAAAGATTGTTGTTATCAGAAGCCAAAATTGTTCATACAGGGTAAGTTTTACTTACAGAGTTTCGTCGAGTTATTATGTATCTGAAGTTACGCTGTCGTGTTGTCGTAAAATATCTGAGATTGAAAGCTCATCGTGGCGAATTGTTTTGGCAATTTAACGTTCATCTCAGTTGTCAATTTCATTATGTTGAGCTAATGTTAAACGATGAATAGGATACATGCTAACAAGCTATATATAACAATGAAACATAAACTCAAAAATATTATTACTAATATAGGAAAAAAGGTGATGAAGGAAAGGATATCGTAATGGAAGTTTACGGGTTTACTATCGTAATACAATGTAAAGCTTATTTTAAAAGCTTTTTGAGTAAGTTATTAATTAATTAATTTAGTTATTATTTTATTTATTATTTGAGTACTGTAGAATGAAATCCTGTAAATGAATTTTTTAAGTTTTCGCCGTAGAAGATTTAGCTCCGGAATAACTGTGTTATTATATAATGCGATTATTCCGCTAAAGAGAAAATTTAAATATTCAACTTATAGGGTTTCATTCTGCAGCACACATTTATTTTATTTATTTTAAGCTAGAGAACATGTATGCGAAGTCGAGGTTGTGATAAAGAGAGGAAATAAAGATATAAAAGAAATTAGAAAAGGTAAATTTGATTTTGGTATGTTGGTGGGAGTAACAAAGACTCAGATTAGACCAAATGCTTACAAAGCAGCAGCTTCGTCGGAAGAAATTATTATAGTAACTACTTACGAAGAGATGATTTATGAAGTAGAAAATTTAATAATTACCTTTTTAAAGGAACAAGAAAAAAAATTAGAAAGTGAATCGAATTTTAAAATAGATTATAATCGTGCTCATATTTCATTTACTTGTACACTTGTATTTCCATTTATCATATTCTTAATTTATAAATTTTTAATTTTTAATTTAAATTGGTTACTATCTTTTGACGAAGCAGCTGTTAAGATTTTTCTTTCATTTTCATTTTTTATTTTTAATAATTTAATATATGTATATTTTTGTTATTTTACATTGTATTATTAATAAAGTTTTATTATGTTCGTCAAAGATTTATCACCCTAAAAAATTTTGCTGACCAATTTAAGGTGTAACGCGCATTAACAGAAGTTTTTCTTGCGAAATTTTTAGTAAAAACTATAGTTTAACTTCTCTAGTCTTTAGAGAATTTTTTGGTTGGAAACACTGAAACAAATATACGTAATATAAATTTGAAAAAACTTTTTAAGTGTTAAAATTCATAATAATTCATGAAAAAATGATAAACAGGATTATATAAGTGGTATAAGCAATCAAACTTATTCTTGAAAGAGAAAAAGCGATATTGAAAACCACTTTGCACAATAATTGTTATGCTAAATTCTTTTAAGATTATTGAGGATTTACGGAAGGCTGAAAAGGACTAAAATGGCTCTAAAAAATAAATTTGATAAACATTGAACATTGCTCATTGAGTCATATTGGCTAACTTTTATTTACAGCTCTCTAATTCAATGATTTTAAATCGATATATTTTGGCAAATGTATACTTTATCAGTTATTGAATAATGTGCGAGAATCTTTAAATCACTGTCAGAATTAGTGACATTTGTTAAAAACTAGTTATGATAAACGATTTTGTCTATGAAGTTATATGTTGAATCAACTAATTATAGTATGCTTTAATAATTCCCGAGATTATTAAATCAGAATCCAGAGAAATAACTTTTATATCCTCTCTTTTTTGCCTGTTTTTTCCTTGTGATGTGTCATCAAAAACGTGTTCTAACATATCATTTGCCTCGCGAGGTTTAACTGAACTGTCGACCGTACCAATAGTGACATGAGGCACCTTATTCGTGCTTTTAACATACATAGGTTCAAATTTTTTGACAACTAGTGTCATAACATGGGAGTCGAAAACTAATTTATCAAAAAACACCTGCACCTGTTGATCACACATTCCTTCGTATTCCTCCCACAGTACTTTGTTCTTTGCACCGAAAACAAGAGTAACATGATGTTCATTAGGAATACGGTTTTTTTGACTTAGTTTTATAAAAGTCCTCGGATCTATATTTGAATGTTCTTCGAAGTATTGTTTCAGGAATTTATTAAAATCGTATTCTAGTGAGATTCCATAATAAAGAGGCTTACGTGGCCGTGGAGGTAAGTTGGATTTCGAGGCTTTCTTTTGATTTGAACCTTTATGGCCGACAAGCTTACGAATGGTGGGTTTATAATTTATTGCAGATTCAATAGCTGCGTCAATATTTGAGTTGTCCGGCATTTCTATATTAAGTATCGAATGTAGCTCTTCTATAACATGTAGAAGATTAGTTCTCACATCTTTTTGAATATCCAAGTCAATGACATGATCAAAATTCTCATCATTATTAATATCTAGCGGCTCAAAATCATTCAAGAAGCTCCGAATTACGCCTTCATAATTAGGGTTCTCTGGTGTAAGTGACTGATGATTATCTCCACGTAGTTCGATACGCTGTGAAGTTATTTTGAGGATCTCATCATGACTAATATTGTGATTCCAATAAAGTGCAATAACGCGAATATTTGGATAGGATTTCGAAACAGCTTCCATCAAAGTGCTGCGAAGTATCCGAATGTGATTGTTTCTAACCGATTTTAAGTATAATTTATTAGCTTCATGCAATTATGAGAATAAACAAATAAAAATGATATTTTACCGATCTGCACACACAACATCATTATTTTCAAATTCCCTTATGATGCTATTATGAAATTCTAAACGTGTATTCCTTGCAGTTATATTATCGTTTTGTACATGACCAAAGTTAAACAATGATGCAAGTGCATGTGCGATCGTTGTTTTACCTATATAAAAAATCAGAGTTAATATGTCGTGTAATATATAAATAATACAATTCATCTTTTAATTTTGTTGGCATTTGATCACGTGAAGTAACTCTTCATTTACTTACCACACCCAATAGTCGCAATGGGAACTAACAGAGTTTTCCTAAATGATTCGTTCTTTTCTGGTATATCTTCTTGAGATTTGCCTTCTTTATTCAAATGTTCTAAGAATAGGTCTCTTACATGAATAATTCCATGATTCTGTTGATACCCTTTGAAAAGGCCAGGTTCGGTTCGAATTTTTTCTTTTACCCAATCAATATAAAGTTTACTGGTATTATATTTATATCTTGGTTGCTTCTTACTTATAAGAGCTTTGGTAATCTCTCTCCACTCACGATACATGAGATAAGGTTCATCATATTTAATTTTGAAGAAGAAATCTTGTCCAGTAGACTTTAGACTTGTCCGTACTACAAAACCTTCAATTGGCCTTCCATCCAATGAACCGTCTTGTTTGACCCGGTCAGTAAATTCCTTAACCTCATCAGGACTATTTTTGATATAATATATTATCGGGATAAAGCCCCACTCTTTTGCAAATTCATTAACATATTCGCTAGGACAAGTTTTCAAATCAATAGTATTATAATTTAATCCATGTAAGTAGAGACCGCGACGTTCAAAAGTATATGGTAACACATGTTCCTCAAAAGAATCATCACAAAGCTATTGTAATATCAGAATAGTTTAGAAACAAGTAAAATAAAATTATGTAAAAAGAAAAATAATATACCTCAGCTACTGCTGTTAATTTATTTATGTATAAAAATCTCGCCAGATCTCGCTTATTTTTCCCAACTTGTTCTATATGCATATCAAGCCATTCTTCACCTTTCAAAGCATGTGCAACTACATTTTGAAGTTCACCCATTGAATGCTTACTAGTAACTATTATTTGGTCATTGGGAAGACCACCAATAAAAATGATACAACCATTTTCTTTGGCGGTAACTTCATAAGGACCTTTTGTGTTTTCGAGAATAGAAGTCCACTGAATACAAAGTTTATATATAAAATGAGAATACAATGGTAATTAATAAAGAAATTTTTTTTCAATTATGGTAATAGATATTTACCTTTGTTTTTCCTACTTCGTCAATATTAAAAAATTTATCATATCCACGTATAACAATTTCATATCGATGTGCATCAGTCTGTCTCGTGAACAGACCTCTGGCAGGAGTAAGAACTTCCCATTTTTTATAATCCCAATCATTCATTTTCCAAGATGAAACAGCTAATCCCGAAGGTTGATGAATATAATCAGATCTTCTAATCGATGCAGATTTTCGTGTTTTTCCTTTTTCTTTACATTTTTCATTTAATTTCTGAATTAATTCATGAGCAGCTTGTTGATCTTGTTCAGTTACAGTATAAAATTGTTCAATTTTGTTCATTTTTTATAAGCAAAGTTTTTTTTCGTATTGAGATCAGATCAGATCAGAGACACGGAATTTATATAGAATTTTGATACTAAAATCACATGATTTATATTGATTTTCATTGCGCAGTCAATGCGCAGTCAATTGCGCAGTCAATTGCGCAGTCTATGCGTTAGATACGTAGGATTCCGATGGAAAGATAATACTAAATGTTGCCGAAGCTATAATTTTCTGCATCTTTGACCTTTTATCAGCAAATCTTGCGCATGTACTTTTTATTTTACGTACGTACAGTAATATATAACCTACATATATAACCATTTGATCAGATTTCAGGTACTAAATCCGATAAACCTGTTTTTGAAATATCTATACTTTTAATAAAATATCTTGAAAACTAACTAATTTAATACTCAAGATTTTAATATTATTCGAATCGTCTCATTAAAACGATTCGAATAATATTAAAATCGTTTTCAAGTTATTATTAAAATGTATAGATATTCAAAAAACATGATTTACAGGTTTTCATTTACCCAACACAAATAATAAAAATTCCGGTACCATTTTTGGCACAAATATGTAATAGAAGATATTTTTAGTGTAATCAGCAGTTCCGTATACAGGCATACCCAGGTCCCTGCTGTGAGTTACTGCAATTTGTATTACGGTACGTTTACATAAGATCTGTTGAATTGCTGTGTAAGTCAATCGAATATAAATAAAGATGTAATTTTCAATTATTATATTTTCTATCATGCATTTCTTCAATCGCGTATTATAGATAATCCTACATATATGTAAATTAAATACAAAAATGACTTTGAATGAAAATTCAAGCCTAACATCTAAAATTATGAGGTAATACATTTTTTAGATCTACTTCTTTCACACAGTATAATATACTAATAAATGAATATTATTATTAATTGAAATTATTTTATTATATTTTTAATATAAAAGCTTTTGGAATTCATTTCAGAATCAATATGATCCTATACAACCTCGTAATACAAGTCGACATGCTCATAATTTTGCTCGAATACGGAAGACTCTGCTCGATACGACTGCAAAATTTAATAACCGAGATGATAAAGCATTGGAAGAAATTAAAAGATATGAAGATTTTATGACAATTGGTAATATTTTAATTTTAAATTTTGTCTTTCTTTTTTTTTTTTTTTTTTTTTATATTAAAAAATAATTTGTTAATTATGATTAAATTTATTATGTTTATAGATTGGGTTCAAGATGCTATATATGAACGATCGAGAATGAATGCATTACGAAGTGCAGCGATAGAAAATAGGTTTTCATGGAATACTTGGTTTCGTCTTTCTTACGAATCAAGTCAAGCCTGGATTGTTGTATCGATAGTTGGTTAGTATCTTTATGTCAATTGGTTTGTTTTTATTATTTAATTTATTAAAAATTATTTCTTTAATTTCCTTATTATTAAGGTGCAATTATTGGCCTTAATGCGGCATTAACTGACATTATCACAGAGTGGCTTTCAGATATAAAATTTGGTTATTGTAAGAATTCTTGGTGGTTAAATCAGAAATTTTGTTGTTGGGAGGTTGAGAGGCCAGGTCAGAATCTCCTTCGAGAACAATTTGAAATTATTTATGTTATACTGTATTGTAATTATATTTTAATTTCTTTTTTTTTAAAAAAAAAGATGGTTCATGTGATAATTGGCAAGGATGGACAAATTTCTACATTATAAATTGGTTCTTTTATATACTAGTTTCGGTAATATTCTTCAATATTTTAATTGTAAATATATTTTTATCATCAAAATTATAATCTTTTTTATTTTATTTAATAAGGTGCTCTTTGCGGCGGTTTGTGCTTATCTGATACGCTCTTTAGCTCCATATGGAGCTGGTTCTGGTATTTCTGAAATAAAATGTATTTTAGCCGGGTTTATTATGAAAGGATTTTTGGGTGGTCGTACATTGATACTGAAAAGTGTGAGTTTGGTAAGTGATAATATTTTATCGTAGAAAGGTTATGACTTCTTTATTTACTCTCTGACATAAATATGATCTGTGGTTTATATTCTTAGCCTTTGGCCATTGCGTCAGGATTAAGTGTTGGAAAGGAAGGTCCCTCAGTGCATACGGCTGCTTGTGTTGGAAATGTTGTTTCAAAACTGTTTGGAAAATATACCAGAAACAAAGGTATGTAATGTATCTATTGAAAATATATTTAGTATAAGAAAGTATCTTATTATGATAATAATTATTATTTGATAGCTAAAATGCGTGAAATTTTGTCTGCCTCATGCGCGGCTGGTGTAGCTGTCGCTTTTGGTTCACCAATTGGAGGTGTATTATTTTCATTCGAGGTTAGAAAAAAAAAATATTGCTATTATATAAATATTTATTATCAAAAGGTAATATTAAAATATCGTGATTTTAGGAAATGAGCTCAAATTTTCCTATGAAAACTATGTGGCGTAGCTTTTTTTGTGCATTAGTAGCAACTGCTGTTTTGCAGGCTATGAATCCTTTCAGAACTGGAAAACTTGTAATGTTTCAAGTCACTTATGACCGGGAATGGCATTATTTTGAAATCATCTTTTTTGTAATATTGGGTGCATTTGGCGTAAGTAGTTACTTCACTTAAAATCTACATAGATAAATTATTAACTATTTGTATATATTTTGCATAGGGTTTATATGGCACATTAGTCACAAGATTCAATATCAAAGTTCAATATTTCAGGAAAAAGTATTTAAAAGATTATGCAGTGGCAGAAGCAGTTATACTTGCTGGTATTACTGCACTATTTGGTTATCTTAATATATTTATGAAATTAGACATGACTGAAGCTCTGGGAATCCTTTTTGAGGAATGTGAAGGGAAGAAACATTATGATTATGAAGATCTTTGCAAGTAGGTTTGACCTCTAGGTTGTCTTCACTTGAAAAAATTTGCGGTACAAGGCTTATCTCATTTCAGTTGTAAATGTTTTGTTTTTATTCTCAAAAACATTGTTATAATGTGATTTCCTTCTTATTCAAAGAAACTCGGATTTTTCGAAAGGATCAGAGATTGTTAGAATTATGGTACTATTATTAATAGCAACCATTCTTCGAACTTTTTTCATTATAATAACATATGGATCAAAAGTACATAAACATCACATCTCGTTTAAGAATCCTATTTGATAATTTCTTTTTCACTAATTAGGACTACAAAATAATTTTAGGTTCCCGCTGGTATATTTATCCCTTCGATGGCCGTTGGAGCAACTTTTGGAAGGTTTTTTGGTCTTTGCGTGAAATCTCTGCACACGTAAGCCCAACTTAAATGATTTTATCCGATTTTGTAATATATTGTACATGTATATTAATTTGATATTTGACAGTGCATATCCTACGTTTCCATTATTTGCATATTGCAAACCGGATGTACCAGTAAGCCATCTGTTTTCTATTCATTATTTCCATTATTTCCATAGTTCTATATACTAATTGTTATAATAATTATTATCTAGTGTGTCACACCTGGGATGTACGCATTCTTGGGTGCTGCTGCTGCTTTAAGGTATGTCATTAAATGGATTGGATTTTATATCTATATGTTAGTATCTTATATTTACATGTACGATATTTTTTTGTTGATATTGTTATTGTCACATTATTTCCTACTCATTTAAATAGCGGTGTCATGCATCTTACAGGTAGATATTGTTTCAAACGGTTAATTAATATTACGTAGATTACTGACTCTTTTATCATTTTTTATTATTAGTTTGTATAGTCGTCATTATGTTCGAATTGACAGGGGCTTTGACATATATTTTACCTACAATGGTATGAGCATTATTCTTCTAATTATGTGTTTGTATATCACAATTATGCACTCATAATTTTTTATATTTATATGGATTATAGATTACTTTGATGATAACTAAGACTGTTTGTGATATGTTTGGCAAGGGTGGAATATATCCTTTTTATTATTATTATTATTATTATTAATTATCATGCTTAGTTTCTTTTTATTTCTTAACTGAAATACACTGCTGACCAAATGATCCGATTAAACGGGTTTCCATTTTTAGATAAAGAAGAGTATTCGTTTGGAGTTCCAGGTTTGATAGTATGTGATAATGATTAAGCGGATATAGAATATAATGATTTAACTAATAATATTACATAATAATATTCATAGTTGCTGCTGTTATGAGAAAAGATATAACTGTAATGACAGCATCGGGCTTAAAATTGGATGAAATTGGTATGTTACTTAAAAGTAAATTTTTAAGGATTCGATTCTTGTTCTTACATTGGTTTGTTATAGATCAAATTCTGCTAGAAACAAATTTTCAGGGGTTTCCTGTTGTACAAGATAAGAAAAGTATGATGCTGTTGGGATATATTGGTCGTGTAGAGCTAAAATATGCTATAGGTATTAAAAAAAAATTTCGTTCTTTATGTTAAAATTTATTCAAACTTTACAAGTCTTTTCTTACATTTCAGATAAAGCAAAGAGAGTCCGAGGAGCATCCAATACTGCACATTGTTTTTTCAACCCTGACGATACTACATTTATTAATAGCGGTGGTAATGGAGAAGGATCATCAAATTTCATCGATTTTGCTCTTTTTATTGATCAGGTAATTATCTATAATTATAACCCTTTTTTTTAAATACCTTAAAAAGTTTAACGCATTTGGATTTAATAAATTTTACTAGACACCAATCACAGTCCATCCACGCCTACCACTAGAAACAGTTATGGATTTATTTAAAAAAATGGGGTAAATATAAATATATGTTAAAAACGTGTGACGGTTATTTCAATATTAATTCACCATTTTTTTTAAATAGTCCACGTGTCATTCTAATAGAACACGTTGGTAGGTTAGTTGGTCTTGTAACAGTGAAAGATGTATTAAAATATATTGCTCGAAGGGATGCCGAAGAGCAAAATAAAGATGCTAGTAGCGATGGTCGTACAGAACCAGCATCTAGTTATTTTAATGATGAAAGAAATTTACCAAGAAAGCGTAGTATAATTTCATTAACAGAATTGGGAAAAAGAAATGTGCATAAGTAATAGAGCTTGGAATGTATATTAGATTTTGAGTCATTAAAAAGGTGGAATATTTATTATTTTTATTTAACACAGTTATAATTTTAGACACTATTTTTTTTTTCTATTTTAATAATTAGTTTAAACTGGTAAAAAACTTAAAACTGAGAATTATATGAATAGTTAGTTAGTTCTCGATTAGTCTTCTCGGGACATATTTATTAATGCTATATAAAGACAAATTGTCATTAATAGACGCATTATTACGAAATCTAACAACTCAAAGTCTAAAACCATCATCTCAACATAAACAAAATCCAAGATCTTATTTAAAAAAAATTTTAAAATAATTTTTAATTGTACATAATAACAGTTAATTAATGCCGGACGAATTTAGTCATAATTCTAAATAATTTTTTAGATGTGAACTACGCTTTAATAATCTTAGATGTAACGCTATATTTTAACCTCTTATAAAGTTTGCAAGCTCGTGTTTTCATTGCTTCATGTCACTAATCTTTTTACTTGCAGTACGTATCTGTCTAGAAAAATAAAGTTATAAATAAAATAGATTAGCGTTGTAAGTCTTTTGAAATTACTAAATTTACAAGTTTAATACACTATAGACTATATTGATTAAATTGAAACGCCTAAACATACCTCTCATCTAACTTCCGAATTACCTTGTCATTTACCGAATTACTTTTGTATGTTGTAAAGCTGAAGATGTAGTAATCGTTAATTGCCAAAAGGTCGCAGATTAAACAAGCCAATTGGAACCAAACCAAATTAAGAAAAAAAAAACTGTAATACAAAAAAGATATTGTCGTCCTAATATATACGATATTAAAAAAAAACTATTAATTATCAAAGAAATTAAATAAAAAAATATTTTTTAATAAACAAACAAAGTTTCCTATATTATAAGAAAGACATACCGTAACTGATTCTTTCTCTGGAACTAATAGACCTTATTAACAAGAAACTCTTTTGTTTTACTTAAAAACGTCTTAAAACCAACTATCTCCACGTTCCACGTGTCAACGCTTCAATAATCAATCCTCAGATTTGACTAACACACTTGGATGCTAGCCTACCAAAAGTATCCAAAAGATCTGATTTTTACTAAACAAATATAACTATATTATGTATAGCTTTTTAGCCTTGCTCATATTAAGTATTCTTATTTATTCGTCAGCTATGTTGTATTTCGTCAGATAACCACTTTAGATGCTTCATTATGTATAGCCTTTTAGCCTTGCTCATATTAAGTGTTCTTATTTATTCGTCAGCTATATTGTACTTCGTCATTAGGTGCTTCGTTTTTTTTATATTGTTTACAAATAAACAAAAACAATAGTAAAAATTTTAAAGTCTAAGCGAAAGAAGGACAAAAAGGTTAAAAAAAAAAAAAAAAAAAAGAATATAAAAAAGCTTTGATATCGAAATAGATAAAATAGGTGTAAAAAAAGAAGAAAAAAAAGCTAACAAAACAAAAAAATTAAGCTTTGATATCAGGTAAGAAAAAAAAAACGATCAGATTTTAGCTATTTATATTTTCATATACAAAAACAGACGCGTAACGGCCAATCAGATCAGATTAGAAATCACGTGTAACGCTTTTATTTCACAATTTTAAAAATGAATATAAAAGATTACTGGTATTATAAAATATGGTGAGTAGAAATTTATTATTCGAATTATATTAAATAAACTATTTAGATTCACGAAACTTGTATTTAATTCTGTACCAATTTATTTCATTTGAATTTATTGTTTTTATTACACATCTCTAATTTTATTTATGTTTATTAGTAGGCGAACATTTAACTATTTGTTTATATAGAGGGGAGGTTTGATTCAGCCAAAAAATAAACCGAATATTCATTCATTATTTGTTTTTATATTATTGAATGCACATTTGTAAATTTTTGTAAATATCAGCATTAAAAAATATTTTTTTTTATTATAAATCGTATTGAAGTTACAAGCATTCAGTTTTTTATATAAATGTTAAAAGTGTTTATTTAGTATATCAAATAAATCGCCTTATGTTAAAATGCCAATGAAGCTATAGTTTGTGATCCTAGCTGATCAAAGTTTTTTGACCGGCTAGGCCGATAAAATTTTATCAGCTTAGCCGGCTTAGCCGAAAAAGTTTGAACATGTTTATAAGCCTATTTAATTTCGTTCTTTATATTAATAAATTAATGCGAGCTTGGCTCTTTCAGATTAAAGTAGAGCTTGTACCCGCTATAAATTTCTACTCTGAGTTACTCACCCGTTTACAAGATCATTACCGGGTTACAAACTGGGTTATTTAAAATAACCCGAGTAACCCGGTTTACCCGGTTAACCCGGGTCATTTGACACAGATTCTTTTATTATATATAGCATTAGTGTTCCGAGTAGCATAGCAGAAGTTTATTTTGATTAGTTGTTAAAATATCCCGGAAAAATGTAAATTGTACCTCGGATTAAACCCCGGATAGTGCATCGGTTATACAACTCTTGCTAAGAACACATATAATAACTTTGCAATATATTAATTCAGGTTTCATATAATTACGTTAACTCAGATTTCGTGATATATTTATTATTTATTTCGTGATAAATATTTATTTACTTTGCAATAAATACATTATTTAAATTATTAGATTCGCGACATTTACTTTAATACTTTCTAATAACGTTCTGTAAGTTGCTGTATAACCCTAGAATAAGATAATAAAGATATTTACAAGTTATTTAACTTTCATAGTATAGTTCTTTTAACTTTAACAAATACAGTAAAAAGAAAGTAGACTAGTAAATACCGATTTCACACTCCCCTAAATCATAAATACTTATGGGTTTAAATATATATTAAGCAGCAGGTATAAAGTTCATTAAGATCATTCACCTCGACTTCCTGATTGTAGACATTTTCGCATAGTAAGATTCTTTCGAGAGAAAATAAGTTTATCCAGACAATTAGCTAGTCATATGTACATGCTATAGAGGTAGTTACATTTATGCAAAGGTCACGTTTATAAAATAAGGAGCAATTGATCTATAATATGCACTGTAATATATGCATCGTTAACCCTATCATGAGTAACCAAGTTAGCAATAGGTTGACCCAGTTATACGGGTTACCTGAGTAACTCTTATACAGGTACAAGCTCTAGATTAAAGTATGCAAATTAAATAACTTCGGAATAGGAATATATACATTTATGAACTTCAATAAATGCATCACACTGATTAAATTAATTTTATGATTGTTGCTAGAATATTGGCACCATTTTATTATGTAACGATAAATAATCTCAATTATGGAATCGACCAGCCGATTTTGCAAAAAATTGATCGGCTGGGTCGAAAAATTGGCTTAGTCGATTTGTCTGGTGTTAGAGTTTTAGTTTGTGTAAAGGCTGTGTGAGGTTAAAGTGATAGCACGAAGCCTCTAACAGGTCAGGTCTCTTAAGATCGTAAAATGTATAAAAGTACAGGCTATCTCATTTAATAAAGAGGGAGGAGCTAACGTCCTTCTTGATAAAGTAACATAAAACAACAATCTGCCTTTCCTTTATTCTCAACTATTATTAATGATTGAATCCCACCTGGTTAAGTGAGATGTCATCGCGCCCAAACCATGTTAACTATTGGAGCTAAACCGTGCAACGTTACCCGTTCTCCCAATTTACAATAGTAACACTGGTTATCAGCCAGAATCATTAGCTATCGCTATAGTCAGTAATCATATGTAAATAAGAAAAACCCCACTCCGTATTTTCAACTCCAATTCCTTTTAATAACAACATCCGACATAATATGTTCCACTAGTATCCCTCATCCCTGCTGATTTTTTTGATCGTAAATGAATGCCTTACGTTCGTCCTTTTCAATTTCAATTCCATTTCGATAACAATATCCAACATTATATGTTCAACTGGCATTCATCTCTGCTGATTTTTTTGATAGTAAATGAAATACCCTGTGTTCGCTCTTTTCAGCACCAATTCTGTTTCGATAACAATATCCTGCAATGTATGTTTAACTAGCGTTCTCTGCTAATTTTTTTGGTAATAAATGGAATACCTTGTGTTCGTCCTTTTCAACTCTAATTCCACTTTGATAACAATGTATGTTTCAACTAGCGTTTCTCATCTCTGTTGACTGCTTTGATCATAAATAGAATGCTTCATGTTCGCCTTTTTCAACTTCAATTCTGCTTCAATAGCAATGTATGTTTCAACTAGCGTTTCCCAGCTATGCTAATTTTTTTTGATGATAAATGGAATGCCTTGTGTTCGCCTTTCTAACTCCAATTTCGTTTCGATAACAATGTATGTTCCAATTAGCATTGCTCATCTCTGTTGATTTTTTAACTCTAATTCAATTTTGACAAATTGATGAGTGAACGACATGGGTATTGAGTATGAGATAATATAGGATAGTTAATTGGAGACAAAAAAATAAAATAAATTGAAAAAAAATTAGCCCACTCATCAAGATAAAAGGTTGAAATAATAAAACGTATGAACTTGAAATAAATTCAATACTGCCAGAAATCGGCTTTCATGTTGTTATTTATTACTTATCAAATTCGGCTCGTGATCAAACTAGATTAAATAGCTAGGGATGTTGTCAGCTTGATTCGGCTTGTATATTTAATTATTATAAATACTGATTAATAAATATTATAGTGCCAAACGAGCTGATAATATCCATACAAAGAGCAAATACTCATAATTTGAATAACATTCTGATTAAGAAATAATAATTATACTTGCCAACTAGATTGATTCAGAATAGTTTAATAATGATAAGTAAAGAACAAAAAAGCAATATTTAAAAGAATTGAATAACGATAAATTCTATACATACCGTCTAATAGTTGAGTATCAAAAAGCGTTTTATATAAGTAGTTGCAATAATGTAAAATTTAAATGTAACTCTATAAGACACAAATCATATATATTTATTATTATTATTCTTTTTATTTTTTTTATTTATTTTAGAGTCGAAAGATACTAGTGATGTGGTAATGAAAAATTCTGAGCAGTTAAATTAAAAATTATACTAGAACAAAGATATTATTTACGATGTTATTTATAATAAATATAGAATGATCGAATCCGAATTTGAATACTATTTTTTATTATTTGTAATAACGATAAGTTTTAAATTTTAAATTTTTTTTTGTATAAATAATTGTTCAAATATGTTCTCGTATTAAGTGAATTTTATTTTATTTTTTTTTTTAATCTACTCAAAATTTTTTATAAAAATAAAAATGTTGCAAGAATAAAACAACTCTATTTTCATTAATGACAATTGGTATAATTAACTTTCATTTTAATACTGTAATACGTATCATCTAATTTTTAATAATTAAATCAAAAAATTCCGCGATATCAGTGAATTGTACTAATTAATCACATACAAGTTAATTTAATTATTGATCTAAAAAATTAAATTATAGATAATGAAGAATTAAGTACTAATTATAGCATATCAAATACTGATGATAGCATATCGAATTAGAAATTTTAAGGTACGTATAACAGGAAAAAGCTTTTTTACGTGGTAAAATTTTTTTTATTATACGTATTATATTTAAATGAATATGTGTTAATATTATTTTAGACACTTGAATATCTCAAAAAGTATCGAATCAAACTTTATTTAAAAACAGTAAATAACATTATGAATTTGAACTGACAAAAAAACTTTCGTAAACATAACTAAATTATTTTTCTACGTATTAGAAATTAAATTAATTTGAAAATCTTATATTAAAAATTAACGAAATATTAGAATTAAATTAATACTTTAATAAATAAATCGAATAAAGAAAAAATCTCATAAATTAAAATATACTTAGGGATTCCCGATCGGTATTTAGCCAGGATCGGTTATGTTCAACAGTTCGAAATTTAAATTTGTTCGAGGAATGGGAGAGCTAATTTTCTGAGAATATTATTGAATTCGATTTAGCCTAAGAAAATTATAAAAAATTAAGATTAATATGCGAACATAATATGTGAATAAAGGATTCTTTGTATAGAGGAAGATACATAAATAATTCTTTATTCAGAATTATTAGACCTTAACAAAGAATTCAAAGGACGGCCAGTAGAGGTCATCAACTGATATGGTCAATTCTAATGTTGTTGGCAAAACCATATCAAAATTTGCACTTATTTTTTGAAAAACGGTTGCCTACAACACTAGTTAATTCCACATAAGCATCCAACGTCCACTAGAAGTGACCAAGAATCCAAGATCACCTCGCAAAAAAGCTCTACTCAAACTCTACTCACCTTTTAATTTTTTAACCACCGAAACGAATTAACCTAAATTATGAAATAAAAAATTGTTAATGATTTATAAGTTAAATATAAAAAGGTGTTTAATTAAAAATAATCACTAAAGTAAAAGAAATTGAAATTTACTTGAATTGAAATATTTGTTTTTCGTACATTCGCATAAAACATGTAACTTGTAGTATTAAAAAAATGACCTAAAAATAGCGGCACATCACACAATTATTGCCCGAAGCGTTTACAATTTTGGCTAATCAGAGAGCAAGATAAGGTATAACGTGACGATCAAAACAACAATCTATCTTAAAAATTCATCTAAGAAACCAAAATTTTGGTATAATGTTAGCTACTAACTCTAACTGGAGTCATATTTTGAACGAAAGGTAATATGTAAATTGGTGCGAATAATCTCAGCAAATAGAAACTTGGGGGAAATTAGTAAACTCTGGTAAGCACCTGATCGAGAATTTGATCTAATTGAATAATATAGCTGATAGAGTGTTTTACGCTAATATACGAAAAACAAATATTTCAATTCAAGTAAATTTCAATTTCTTTTACTTTTTAATTAAACACCTTTTTATAAATCATTAATAATTTTTATTTCATAATTTAGGTTTATCCGTTTCAGTGGTTGAAAAATTAAAAGGTGAGTAGAGTTTAGGCGGAGCTTTTTTGCCAGGTGATCTTGGGTTCTTGATCACTTCTAGTAGACGTTGGATGCTTATGTGGAATTGACTAGTGTTGTAGGCAACCGTTTTTCAAAAAATAAGTGCAAATTTTGATATAGTTTTGCCAACAATTCTAGAATTGACCATATTAGTTGATGACCTCCACTGGCCGTCCTTTGAATTCATTGTTGAGGTCTAATAATTCTGAATGAAGAATTATTTATATACCTTCCTCTATACAAAGAATCCTTTATTCACATATTATGTTCGCATATTAATCTTAATTTTTTATAATTTTTTTAGGCTAAATCGAATTCGATAATATTCTCGGAAAATTAGCTCCTGCTATTCCTCGAACAAATTTAAATTTCGAACTGTTGAACGTAATCAATCCTGGCTAAATACCGATCAGGAATCTTTAGGTATATTTTAATTTATAAGATTTTTTCTTTATTCGATTTATTTATTAAAGTATTAATTTAATTCTAATACAGTATTTCATTAATTTTTAATATAAGATTTTCAAATTAATTTAATTCCTAATAGAAAAATAATTTGGTTATGTCTACTCAAGTTTTCGAAAGTTTTTTTGTCAGTTCAAATTCATATGTTATTTACTGTTTTTAAATAAAGTTTGATTCAAGTGTCTAAAATAATATTAACACATATTCATTTAAATATAATACGTATAATAAAAAAATTTTACTACATAAAAAGTTTTTTCCTGTACGTACCTTAAAATTTCTAATTCGATATGCTACATACGATTTATCACTATACTCAAAATTTCCTATGTATCATTATCTTTCAATGATAAATTAATGACATATATAGTAATAATAAACTATGAGCGTACCCTTATATTTTTAAAAACACTAACTAAAAGAACGTCA